CGGATACGAGTACGGCACAACCCAGTCAACTCGATTAATGGAAAAAAAAGACAGGCAGGGTCTGCAAGGGAACCTGGGAGGATCTATACAATTTTGGTTGAATGAGATGAGCGAGAGCCTAAGAACGCTGCGTGACGAATGCATAATACAAACTCAGCGACACGACGACTTTGGAGTAGTCGTGTTTGCCATCTTGACGCCCAGAACCGACTTGCGTTTCGGAAGACAAAGGAGAAAATACCCGTTCCTTGATGAGCAGCGGAGTCTCCTGGCAACGCAGCTGGCCTCTTCTCCTCGAAAATGGTCTTCGTGTGGCCGCCGTCGTCGTCACGGTAGAAATGTCGCTTACATCCAAGTCAGAAATAACTCGAGTCAGAGTGACGGCTATTTCGACTAACGGAGTCGTTGTGGTGTGAATGAAGCGAATATCCGTCAGACGCAGGGCGGTCTATTTTTTTCTGGACAGGGGGGGAATTCAGCTAGCTGATATTGACAATCGGAGGCTTTTGCGGACCATCGAACAGTCCGAACAGGACGCAAAAGCTGATAGCGGCCTATACGCTGTAGCTCAGGCTTGACGAAGACCGACGGTTGACGTCGAATAGGGCATTTGGAAGTGAGAACGAGAGAAGGAAGGCACCGTGTGCATATGAGAGGACCGGTCCATGATGGCAAGGAAGATTGAGCGAGAAAGCACGATGCTGGCCGTCTAGAGGCGTAAATCGAGTCGACAGTCGAAGCGCCTCGAAGTGGAAGAGGAGGGAAAGTGGGCTATCCAAGGTATAGTTGGAGCCTGATCAAGGTGTAAGCCGCGTATTCATATTCTCAAAACCTTAGAGCGCATTACTTTGACATTCATTTAGAATCCGCAAGCTTCCTGCGTCGATGGCTGTCAGGAATCTCTCTCTCGAGCCCCAGAGGCGAACAGACGCTCCTCTCGGGTAGAGAACAAGTCAAGAATGTCAGAACATCCTCCCTAGAAGAAAATGACGCGGTCAGTACATTGATCCTGGTGAATCGTAAATCGGGAGGCATGCAAATTTGACGAAATCTCTCGTTCCAGCCCGCGACCACCGTTAGGAAGGGAAGAAGTAGCGCCAGAGACGGCATTCTTCCTGACCGTTTTCCAGGAACTAGGAGAGGGCACAGAACCACGGGGGAAGAACCCTGCTTGACAAGGGGGTTGGAGAAGAAAGCGGCATCGGCCCGCGCCGTCGGCAAAGGACACTTTTTTCCCACGAGTGATATCACCCAGTTCTCGCCAACGCTTTTACCACCCATCTTCTACAGTCCCGCCGTCCTTCCCCTCCTCTCATCCCCTTTCGTCGTCGTCGACGTACAAAATGGCCTCACTAGCGCGTATACGCATCGCTCGCAGCCTTGTACGTCCAACTTCTCTGTCTCTGCCGCCACATCATCACCATCATCATCACGGCTCTCCGTGCACCCATTCCCGGCTTTCCACCAAAAACACAAGCTAATTTCTCTTCTTTATAGCCTGCAACCCTTTCAGCGCGCGCGCGTTTGATACACACGACGTCAGACACGACCCAGCTGCAGGAGAAGCCCGCCGACCTCTCTCAACCCATTACCGTCAAGCTCCATGAAGACTCCTTCCAGTCCTACCTATGCGAAAAGCCCGAGCTGGAGCTGGAGGTGACGAAGGACGAGCTGTTGACGATGTACAAGGAGATGCAGACGATGCGGCGGATGGAGATGGCCGCCGATGCCCTCTACAAGGCCAAGCTCATCCGTGGGTTCTGTCATTTGGCCATTGGCCAGGTACGTGCTTTCTTCTCGTTTTCACTTCTGAACAACCCGTACTCACCCGCTCAATGAATCGCAGGAAGCAGTCTCCGTCGGCCTCGAACATGGCATCACCCCCAACGATCGTGTCATCACCGCCTACCGCTGCCACCCCTTCGCCGTCATGCGCGGTGGCACCATCAAGGGCGTCATCGGCGAGCTTCTCGGTCGCCAGTGCGGCATGTCCCATGGAAAGGGCGGCTCCATGCACATCTTTACCCCCACCTTCTTCGGTGGTAACGGTATCGTCGGTGCTCAGGTCCCCATTGGTGCTGGCGTCAGCTTCGCACAGAAGTACATGGGCGAGAAGACGTGTACGTTCGCGCTGTATGGTGATGGCGCGAGCAACCAGGGCCAGGTATTCGAGGCGTTCAACATGGTACGTTTTTCTCATCCGTTCCCCTTATCGCATCCTATCATTTTTGTTTATTATATGCGCGTTTTCAGGCCAAACTCTGGAACCTCCCCACCATCTTCGTCTGCGAGAACAACAAGTACGGAATGGGCACCTCCGCTGCTCGCTCTTCCTCCAACACCGAGTACTTTACCCGCGGCGACAAAATCCCCGGCCTCCAGGTCCGTCTTCTTCGTTTTACTCGGGGTTTTGGCTTTTCCCTAGCTCGAACGATAGGTGAACGGAATGGACATTATCGCGGCCAAGCAGGCCGTCCAGTACGCCCGCAAATGGGCCGTCGACGAGGATAAGGGTCCGCTCCTTCTCGAGTTCGTCACATACCGCTATGGCGGACACTCGTACGTCATTTCCCTATCTGTCTATTTCTTATCACCCCTCATCCTCATCGCTCTCACAGCATGTCGGACCCCGGCACCACCTACCGCACGCGCGAAGAAGTCCAGCGCATGCGTTCGACACAAGACCCCATCCGCGGGCTGCAGAAGTACATCGAGGAATGGGGCCTCGCGACCGAGCAGAGCTCAAGCAGCTCGACAAGGACGCGAAGGCCGAGGTCGACCAGGCTGTCGAGGAGGCCAAGGCGTCGCCTGAGCCCCGTGCGGAGGACTTGTGGACGGATATTTATTACAAGGGCACGGAGCCATCTTTCATGAGGGGACGCGAAAGGGAAGAGGTAAGTGCACTTTAATGTATTGGTTTTTCGTTGCTGATGCTTTCTACGTTGACTTCTCAGGTGCACCGGTACTAGACGTACTGTACCCTGTCGACTCGAGTACGTTGGGCACCCTTGGTTGCTCATGGTTTCTCTTGTCGTTGGTGGTGGAGTACATGTGGAGGTTACATACATAGACTGGGGCCTGGTCCGGACACTCGCTGGGTCCCTCTTTCATCGTAAATTTATCGTTTTCTAATATGAACATGCTCTTTTCGCTCGCGATGATATGTTAACATGACGCCTCGGAACGACACAAGAGAAGTGACGCAAGTGGACGTTGGTCGAGTTGGTTTATGGAATGGTAGACGCTCTCAACATTTCGACTGGGATGCTCGCCGACGCGTACCGAAGCCTGTACTGCTCGGAAGAGAGGTTCGTACGTAGTTCTCTCTCTCTGATGTCCGTTATCTGCATGGTCTTTCACCCTTTTCCGGCCTGTTGCAGGATCATCGATCATCGCTCAAGCTCAAGACGGAGTGACTCAACCGCGAGAGCGGGTGTATAGGGCTCCAAGGTCGAAGTCTCGTTACCTTTAACACCGCTTCGAATTCGCTTATCCTGGCCGCCGTTATCGTCCTCAACGTCTGAAGACTTTGACGTTCGAACGTTCAACCCTGACAATCCGCGGTCCTCGCTTCGTTATACTTACTCCTGATCGAAGCCGAGCACTATATAGTTACTGCCAGCACGCTACTGTCCGTCGACGATGGGTCGAACAGTTGCGAAGACAGCTCGTTCTAGCTGCTGCGCTCGGCGTGGATTTGTCGTCAGTTTAAGCTAGCAAAAGGTTGTGGCGACCTACCTTCGAAGACTTTAAATCTTTCGTAGGTATGTTACACTCATACGATATCTTCCTGACCTGTGTGCTCAAAGTCGTTTCCACCTTTAGGCATGCAATAGACATCTAGGAACACCGCTCGAAATAATGACCAAGCTCGAAGGAGAGCTACAATGTTTGAGGAGGGAAGCCATGAGAGGGTACGCTGCGTCTTTCTTCATCCGACGGCGTGCTGATTAGTACTTAGTACTCTTCGTATATTAGGCCTCCTTCGGCCTTCTTCAATTCGTCGGATACTCTAGCTTGATTTACGTGGAAAATTCGCCCGATGGTCCTCTGGGCTGAGCACGAGGAAATCGTGCATCGACTCGGAGCTCAAAGCTGTATGTCCCATCTCATGCGCGGTAAGTAAAAGCGATGTGGATAAGGCATTTGATCTTGGTGGGTCATTTCGCCTCTACCTATCCCGGTTCTTGCACTGGGAAATGTCGCATACCCCAAGACGGGGCTATTGTGATGCACCTAGTGAGCTTCGCGAGTCCATCTTGATTTGTGTTCGCTGTTTATATATTTCCTAGCGCCTCGCCGCCGACGTTCCTGTTTCTCAGGATTATATATCTACTCTGCTCCTTTGGGCGAGCGTAGAGAAGAACGCTCGGACTTGCGGCTATGTACTACTCTGCCACACTTCGATACCTCCAGGGACGAGCGACGAATAGGAGTCCAAGCGGTAAGTGTCCAAGTCCTTTACACCACGCTCTCCTCTCTCAAGACGAACCGTTTGGAAGACTTTGACCGATAATGAAAGTATGTACGTATGGACCTGGTTCCGCACTCGGGGTTCTCCCCCCACCCGTCGCAGTATTTTCCAGGTTGTAGAGTGGCATCCCCGGCAGAGACGGAGTTAGAATGAAACCAGCGAAAGGAAACGCGAAATTCAGGTCATGACTCAGGAAATTATAACAGCGACGAGGATGAGCTATAATACATACTGAGCATAATTATTACCTTTATCTCCACTTCGGTCCCTTCTATTCAAATAGTCTATTATACAGTAAGTACGGCTGCCAAAATTCTCCAGAATGCGTCCTTTCGCTACACTACTGAATTTAGGCACGCCACGGACCGTTAGTAGCACATTCACGGAAGGATTAACGAGTGCAAGAGATTGACAGTACGGCGGTCCGCAGGGGTTCAAAAATGAAAATTCATCGGCAACGACGCGCTGGATTCATCCCTGTAATTCAACTCTTCGAAAGTAGACCACCTCATCGAAAGTACCGTGAAGAATGTGCCGAGTATATACAAATATTTGGGGTGCACGGGGCCTCAATTCGTTCCCACGGCAAATTTGCCGGTGAGTCATTCGAGACATTCGACGTTTCCACTTAACCTCCACGAAGATATCCGTGTTCAATATTCAAATATTGGAAGCCAATCTCGAACTAACGACTGTAGACGGTGCGTATTTTCTCCTTTGTGCCTGTAACAAGACTCAGACTTGCTGCAGCAACCAACAATTGGGGTGTCCGCGATGGTGGCTCCTTCCAGCGCAGTCGAGTCAAGATCGTCTTCGGTCCGCAACCTCAATGACGATCTCTTGCTGTATATCTTCATGGCCAATGCAAACATGGACGGCGATCCCATCGAGTACGAGGGACGAATCAAAGATATACCGTGCGCACTGACGTACACTCGCAATACATCCCACGTCTGTCGCCTTTGGCGCCAAACGATACTGGCGTCGACATCGTTGTGGGGAAGGCTCATCAATATTGGATATCTCATTCTCTTGAAGGAAGAGTGGAAGTGGGAGATCTTACGTCGTACAAGTGCATCCCTTCTGCACGTAAAGGGGACCCAGACCGGCTACAGCCCTGACTTTTTCCTGCTCCTCCGCCACATCCTCGACATCCATTGGGAGCGTATCGAAACATTCGAAATTTCCGCATACTTCGAATCTACTTGGGAGGGCGATTTCTGGGATCCCATAGCGCGTCCGTCGGAGGTGTTGAAAACCTTTCGAGTCTCTCTCGGTGACCTAGAGCAGCCGCTTCAACCCGGAGAAACATTATTCGGCAACGATGCGCCGAAGCTGCGCGAACTACAGTTGATCGGAACGATTTACTTGCGCGCCAACCTCGACTTATCCTCATCGTGGTTCAGCCAAATCTGCCACCTCGACGTCTCTGGCTCAATTTTCGCCCCTCGTCCGACTCTTTTGGCGTGGTTGGAGCGCCTCGGCGGCATGCCCCAACTGCGGACTCTAACCCTGACCTCTCCATTCCGTCCAGTTCGCCAGGACCCGATGCCACTCCCAGTCGGTCGACTACCCAATCTCACTGACCTTGAAGTCAAACACGACACCTACTCTGCCGCGTTGTTTTTGAATCATATCGAGACCCCTCCAGCATGCAGACTGCGTATTGACACGTCTGGAATCTTCACCACAGTCGAGTTTCCGGCCAGAAGCCACCTGATCGGTGAGGTGCTATCAAAGTATAGCAAGCGCTGGTTCTCGGCGAACACCACGTCGACAAACCTCAATCTGAAAATCAACCGGCAAGGTTTCAGCGTGTCACAGGTCGAACGGAATTCCTCTGGCTCTCGGGCCGCGGGATGCCAAGATAGAATGGAATTCGAAGTCTGCATAGACGTTGACTACAACATTGCATTCACCGAACTTCTTTCCTATGTCAACATATTCTCTCAATGCGACTTGAGCCGCATCGCAATGCTTACCACGTATCTGGACATCTCCCCACAAACCGTGGCCAGCCCCCACCTACGGAAGTTTATATCCGATTTCATCCGTGCCTTGCCCAATGTTCAGGGGCTCATCACCTCAATGGAAGTCATTGCCCACCTCACGAAGATTCCGCAAGGAGCCGGATTGTCACCTGTGTTTCCTGCACTTCAAGTACTGGTCTTGTACGACGCCTCTGTCTTCTGGGGGGATAATGGTTCAGTTGGGAGCAATCGTGGGCGCGAAGTAGGCGAGGCATTCTTTCAACTACGCCAAGAAGAGAAGCATCCCATTCGGGTTTTAGATCTCACTTCATGCAGCGCGTTGCATGACATGAGCTACCTGGAAAGCGCGGAAGGGATGAAAGTATCCTGGATCGACGACGGGGGTAATCGGCGAGAGGAAGTCTGCGGCTACGGAAGAGTCGCCGAAGGACTCGGCCGTTGAAGTTGGAATATAGGTGCGAAGAGATGGCGTGAGACGAGGAGAATGATACCTTTGAGCAGGATATATATACTCAAACTCCAATTTATGTCGAACAAAATTTACGGTACATGCTTTCCGTCGTACCGATGACAGACACTGAGTAGAAAAACTACAGTTCTACGGGCCCTCCTCGAGTGTGGGTTCTCATTTCTGTGTCGAGACTCAAGGGGAATTTTCTGCACCCCTCGTCTCGCCCCGTGCACCGCCCTTCGACGAGGTATCCATCTTTCAGGATGTCTATTTGCGCGATAGTACACGGCCTGTAGGCTGGCAAAATATACGTGCAAGACAACAAGGATTCAGGCTGCTGATTTCCAGCCATCTCAGCGACCTCCGCTTGAACGTCGCCCACAGCGCACTCGAACCCAAATACGTCCGCTCATACGCTTGTCGTTTCAGGCTGCATTCATCAGTACAGACGTCCTCCGCGCCCGGTTGGTGTTGACGTTATGTTATATAATGTTCGTTCTTGACGCTGCGAACGACGGTCAGCCCCGCTCTCAACGTCGCGGCAAGTGCACGCCTACCTCTCCTCATCTACAACACAGGTTTTCTGACGTACGCCCGCCATTAACTCCAAGGCCAGTCCTTCTCCGATAATGGTCAAGGCGGCCTTCGGTTCACTTTCTCGGCCATATCTGGGTCAACTAGTCGGGCTGATCTTGCTCGTTATGTAATTTGAAACCAACCTTGCCAACACGTATACGCGTTCTTGAGGTCTAACAACGGTGGTTAGCCCTGATCGTCATCTGAGATGAGTACCACTTACCCGAATATCCTACAGCGCGATGAGTCCTTGGTCTTCTGTTTCTTCTTCTATCCTCGCTGCATAGACTTCCGCCCATTTTAAGCCGGCCTTCATCGCCGCCATTACCCGCGGTCTCTAGGATGAGCAGCGATGACCGAATTCTAAGAAAAAAAAGAGAGAGAGAAAGACTATGAGTCATCGTACTTGATGAGGACGAGACAAAAGGAATTCATACCTACTCTCTGTTATCTGTATGCGCCGCCTTTGTTGGTGCCGTACCGATGCCGTGCCGTTGTTTGTGAAGATATGATTCATAAGAGGGCGTTGGCACGAAGTAGATGTTGAGTACGTGTTGGAATCTGTCGAACGCGGTGCGGCAGGGTTGGTGGTCATCGAGTGTCGCGGGTGGGACTAGAGAAGAGTGAAGATCAGTTGTGCTATCACACCGCGATCCACGCTGATGCCTGCCTTCGTATAGATCTTCGCTGCCGGAGCCCGAGGTACGAAGAAAGGCCATATGTGTTGTGCCGCCAATGAAGGTATTTAGAGAGTTGGCGAGGAGGATAAGCTCGGTAATGGTAGTCGAGGGGTAGGAGGTGTTCAAACGTTCAACGATCGGTAGGCGTTCAACGTTCAACGTCCAATGGTCGGTAGCTACGCGGATGGGTATGACTTCTGAGATCTGACTCTTCCTCTTTATAGACACGTCCTGCGAGACCTGCAGGTATGTGTCTGAATCGTGAAGGTTGGTGATGTCTTCTAGGGGAGGGGGGGGTTTTGAGGCTGTAAACCTTGATTAGCCCCCGCTCTCGACGCTGTAGGTGGGTACACTCACCTCCTTCCGTATTACGTCACAGTATTTCATCCATGCACACACCATCTACTCGTTCGAGCAGCCCAAGACCCCGCCCGGATGGTTCTCAAGCCCTTGTCAAAGACCTTGCATTGCCCATTTCGCCGCGTCTTGCACAGCGGCACTTGCACATCTTGCTCGCCATCTGAGACGAGACCGGCTTTCTAAACCGGTCGACGTGTTCTTCGGAGTCTAACAACCAAGATAAGTTCTCATAGTCATCACTGGAGCTGAGTACCGCTTACTTATCCTCCAGCACGAGCCTTTAACCTTCTGCGTCCGCCCTCGCCGTCTCGGCTTCTGCACGTTCTAACACGACCTCCTCCACCATCGCCATCACCCGCGATCTTGAGGAGAGAATCAATGTCTGAACCCAGAGAAAAAAAGAGAAGCTCACGAGGAACCGAGCCTGACGAGGACGAGACGAAGGAGGTACCTTTCCGCCAGCGTCTCCCTCTGTCTTCGACGACCCGGGTAGGAGGTAGTGGCCACAAGGTCGATGTGGAGACAAGGTTGATGGATACCGGGGTAGACGTTGTTGAGGATAAGGAACTGGGGAAGAGGAAGGGTGAGTCGTGGCACGTCGTGGTGTGTGGTGATGATCACCTTCTCATAGAGCCTTGCTGCCTGTGCCGTGATGCGTGAAGAAGAGAGTTTGACGAGAGCTGCGTCACCAATGAGGGAAGTTGGACTCGGTGCGAAGGGAGGATGAGACGTAGGTGTTCAAACTTTCACGTTCATTGCCCAGTCACACTTCTTGCTTGCTGCGCGGTCGCTTCTGACGACAGCTCTTCGTCTTCGTAGACACGGTTTGTGACTGCCAACGCGAACATCAGGACGCCGTTGCAGATGCTGGAAGGTGTGTATACTCACCTCTGCTCGCAGTCATTGCTACACGCCGTCCATCCTCAGTCGAGGCCTGAAGCCTCCCCATATTTGTGCAATCTGACTCTGGCCAGAGCCGTCGTTCGCGAAGTCTTGAAGGATGGCTGTCGTTCGAAGTCAACGTCGAAGAGCAGGTTCACCTTGGTGGCTGTGCCTCTGACATCATCCTGGCATTCCCGGCCCGGTCCGACTTTCCTTCAACCCCACTCTTCTTTTTTTCCAGCCACACCTCGTCTCATCTTGTGCCAGATATCAAGGCGTCACCATACGACGAAAGAATATCAAAGGCCAAGTTCAGGTAGGTCAACGCGAGGCGCACAGAAGACTGTTATTCTGCTCATCCTTGCTGTTGGAATTGGGCAATCCGGCATTGTCCCGGATCTTTGAGTAGGCACCCGTACATACTGGAATGCAGATTAGTCATCATAGCACAGCTTCGTATAGGTATAGTATTTAGTAGATAGTTGTAGAACCTACTAGATACAAAGTGTGTACAGTATATAAGGACCTCTGTAGGAGGCCTAAATATCAAGTTCTCTCTTCCACTGCGCCAACAGGTTATGGGCCCCGAGCCTCAGTAAAGCGAGTCTCACCACCGTTTACTGCTTTGATCTTATCTCGCTCTCGTCCTTCTCTTACGTGTTATCTTATCACATGCCGGGCCGAATCACTACACATGGATTAGCCCCCGAAACGACGATCACACGCAATCGCCTTCGAGCACGACAGACGAGACACCACCGCATTTGTTACCATTGCAGGCAGCACGGGCAGGCAGCACGGGCATTTAGTCAAGGATTGCAAAAATCCTCCCAAACCTCAAGAACTTCCGTCGGACAAAGAGATCATGTCCGTTCGAGAACAATCAACTTTCGCTTACGAGCGCGGCAATAGTGCCGAGGTCCGGATCGCCTACTAGAAAGGGAATCGGACATTTTGGGTTAGTCCGAGCAAGTTTGCTCATGCATCGCGGAAAAGCTGCGCGCCCCGCGGCATACGGGACTAGGAAATGGGACGCAGCCACGCTAGAGCTGCCACTTTCCCATAGGAATAATTTAGGTTCCTGAGCTAGGTGCTCTGTGGAGAGATCAGGATGATCCTGCCACATACGGAACAAAGACAAGCTTCGAGCTTGATGGAATAGGTTGCCGAGGCAAGAATGCCAACGGCATCAATGCGCTTCGTGCGCAACGCAACGCTTAGTGCGTGCAAGACCGGCTTAGTGCCAGAATAGGCTTTGTGCCGCCAGAGGCTTCGTGCCACCATTGGATGCAGGTAGAGGATCTCCCTGCTAAATATTGGATTTGGAAGAAGGTGGAGGATCTCCCTTCTTGCCAAGAAATTAGGACATCGGACTTGGAGGTAGAGGAACTCCCTCCACATCCACGAATTGGATTTATTAGGCTCAGCTCGAGGTAGAGGAACTCCCTCGGAGCGGTGAGCAGAGTTTTCGACAACAAAGGTTTCGGAGCTGCAAGCTCGCCTTCCTCATTTGGTCAATGGATCACATTCGGATCGTTAATTTTGCCTCAGCCGGAATGCCGGATTGAGGGGGAGTGTTGGAATTGGGCAATCCGGCATTGTCCCGGATCTTTGAGTAGGCACCCGTACATACTGGAATGCAGATTAGTCATCATAGCACAGCTTCGTATAGGTATAGTATTTAGTAGATAGTTGTAGAACCTACTAGATACAAAGTGTGTACAGTATATAAGGACCTCTGTAGGAGGCCTAAATATCAAGTTCTCTCTTCCACTGCGCCAACACTTGCTTTCGACGCAAGAAATTTTCGTGGGGATCCATTAAATCATAGGTCGTATAATCCGGCTCTCTAGGGCGAGCATTCCCCTCATTTGCGTCACTGCTGCTTTCGCCCGTTCTCGTGCTATATCTTCCTGGGATCCGTACCCGTGTGATAGCGCCTTCGGGTCCCTCAGGAAAAATGCAGCGTGTCTAGAGAAATTCCAACGCGGTGGTTAAGCGGAAATGGCAGAAGTAAACGCACCTGCGAATAAACATTCCCGGGCGCTTCTCACCTCAACACACCATCAAACAACTTGAAATTGGAATAACAACTGCTGCACTTCCCGCCTCAAAAAAATGGCTCCGTAGAAAATTAGGAATTCTGAAATTTTGTTGGAGCTACATTTTTGAAGCGGGTCCTTGAATGCTTGTTATTCCAATTTCTCTGCTCGTGACACTCAAAATCATGTGATCGAGCGGATGAAAATGTTACTAAAAACGGAGCTGTTTGCGCAGCAAACAAGGACCGGCAGAAGAACGGCGGCTTGACTCTTTGGACGAGAAATTGAATGTTCGTTCCCACGGGAAATGGCGGCGTTTCTGTCCAACCTCTACCACCTTCTATCGCGGCATACGTGTTTCGCGTTCAGGAATAAACGAGAGATAACGAAACCAAATGGTACATATATTCTCCAATGGATGCGTAGAGGAAAACTCACCATTATATACGACACCAGCTAACCATTCAGCTCTCCACGTCGGAGGCACCTGCCAACGTGGTCGATGCAAGATCGTCTCCGATCCACAGCCTGAATGACGACCTCCTATTGAAAATCTTCATGGTCAATGCAAACATGAACCGCGATCCCTCCGACTATGAGGGACGAATCAACGATCTGCCATGCCCGCTGACGGATACTCGCAATGCATCCCACGTTTGTCGTCTCTGGCGCCAAACGATAATGGCGTCGACATCGTTGTGGGGAAGGCTCGTCGACATCGGATATCTCATTCTCCTGAAGGAAGAGTGGAGGTGGGAGATCTTACGTCGCACAGGGACGGCCCTCCTACACGTCAAAGCGACCCGGGGCGGCCACGGTGCTACTTTTTCCCGGCTCCTCGGCGACATCCTCGACGCCTTTTGGGAGCGTATCGAAATATTAGAGGTTTCTGCATACTTCCGTTCGACTTACGAAGGCGATTTATGGGACCCTTTAGCGCGTCCGTCGGAAGTGTTGAAGATCTTTCGAGTGTCTCTGGGTGACCTAGAGCACCCGCTTCAAGCAGAAAAAACATTATTCGGCAATGACGCGCCAAACTTGCGCGAATTGCAGTTGATTGGGACCGCTTACTTGCGCACAAATATCGACTTATCCTCATCGTGGTTCAGCCAACTTTACCACCTCGACGTCTCCGGCTCGATTTTCATGCCTCGTCCGACTCTTTTGGAATGGTTGGAGAGGCTCGGCGGTATGCCCCAACTGAAAACTCTCAGTCTGTCCTCCATATTCCAACCCGTTAGTGAGGATCCGATGCCGCTCCCGGTCATTCAACTACCGAATCTCACCGACCTTCAAGTAAAGCACGACATCTACTCTTCCGCGCTGCTTTTGCATCACATTGAGACCCCTCCGGGATGCAGGTTGCGTGTCATCACGTCCGAGATCGTCACCTCAATATCATATCCAGCCCGAAGCCGCTTCATTGGCGAGGTGCTCTCGAAGTACAGCAAGCGCTGGTTCTCGGCGAACACCAAATTGACGAACCTCACTCTGGATATCAAGCCTCACAGCTTCAGCGTGTCGCAGTCGGAACAGAATTCTTCTGGCTCTCGGGGTCCAGGAGGCCAAGCCAGAACAAAATTCGAAGTCTGCATAGACGTTGACTACAGTGTTGCGTTCACCGAGCTTCTTCCATACGTCAACGAACTCTTCCAGTGCGTCTTCAGCCACATCACAATGGTCGCCATGCATCTGCATCTCTCCCCTGAAACTGGATACACAGATAGTTCTCACCTTCGCAATTTGATAGCCAATTTCGTCCATGCCTTGCCGGAGGTTCGAGTGCTCAACACCACAATGCAAGCCGTTGCCCACCTCACGAAACTTCCACGAGGCGCCGGGATCCCACCTCCGTTCCCTAACCTTCAAGTCCTGAAATTGTATGACGCCGCTGTCTTTGGCACAGCTGGGAGAATTGATCATGGACGTGGAATAGGCGAGACGTTCTTTCGACTACGCCAGGAAGAGAAGTGTCCCATTCAGGTTTTAGATCTTACATCGTGCAGCACGTTGCATGACATGAGCTACCTGGAAAGGGCGGAGGGGATGAAAGTATCCTGGACCGACGACGAGGGCAATCGGCGAGAGGAAGTCTGCGGCTACGGAGGAAGTCTGCGGCTACGGAAGAGTCGCCGAAGGACTCAGTCATTGAAGTCGGAATTTAGGTGCGAGGAGATGGGGGTAGGCGACGAGAAGTGATCCTGTGCGCAGGATATATATACCTAAACTCCAGTTTTGTGTCGGAGTAAATTTACGGTACATACTTTCTGTCGGACCGGTGACAGACACTGAGTAGAAAAACTACAGCTCTACGGGCCCTCCCCGAGTGTGGCTTGAGGTAAAGAGTACCTGGGTCATGACTGGTGGGAAATGGGAAGAGCAGGGCTCATGTCAACAGCTAGCGCCTGAACAACCTGAGACGGAGAGCCTCTCAAGTGTCCTCGAGCTACTCACGAGCGAGTTCATGCCGCCTAGCGAGCCTGTTGCAAAATAGATAATTTCGTGGATCAGGATGAATGGAAAGCGCTAGTGAAACGCTATGGAAAGACGGGGTGAGGTCGCTACAGCTTTCAAAACGAACATACTGGATGTGGACAAGGATCGACTGATTATGTTCGCCTCTTCGTCGAGCAGCACTGCGATACACCATGGCGTCCGCCCACCAACATCTCCTCAGCAAATAACAAGATGTCCCAACGCCAGCCGTTGTGAAGATATCAGAGACTACTAGACCGCAAAGAGAAACAGGAAGGATTCACCCACGCGTCATCCAAGCGACATACGTTCTTCGACTCGAAGTTCGCGGGTTCCAACGTCAGGTTCGGCCTTCCCTGGACGTTTGATATCTTCAATACAGAGACGTATCGCTTGCGCAAGGACGAACACGACCTTCAAGAGTCCAGCATAGGCGACACGCTGGAGAGAAACGAAACTATTGGGTTCAACAGATCTTAACTTTAAAAAGTGTAGACGCACTGGAATGGAGCGACACTAACCCGACAATGGACGCCACGCTTGTCCTCGCCACCAGTCTCCAACGGAATCTGGACGATGCCGCACGTCAATCGCTGGTGTTGGAGTTGTTGGGCCAGCTACAAAATCAACCTATGAGAGCATTAGGAGTTAAGCTAGCGACGCTATCCTTGGAACCACGAGTTGATGACATTTCGAACTTTTCGCAGCGGCAGGTCTCGATGGAGCGGACGTATAACGAGATTGAGCGACAGATGCAAGACAGATGCAAAAGTGATAAAGATTAGCTTACGACACTGAAGTGTTACACGATACCCTTGTATACGGCAGTCGTGTAGATTGCTTCCAATACCCTTCATCGCGAGAATAAGAACGTATGACTGCGGCAAGCACGAGTGGGCTAGCTTCGACAGAAGAAGAACGCGCTTACCTTCCTTGGGACCGAGCTTGAGCACAAAACCGTCCTCACGGGCCCTAGGTTCTCCGCCTCCGCAACTCAGTGACGAGAACATCATACCTAGATCTTCATTTTTGTTGAGAATATTACGACCAATAATTCGAAGTGGTGTGATTATTCCCTACCCTTACTACTGAGATAACTCGCCCAGTGTCCATTCCTTGGGCGAGGCAAGCAGTTCTTTGATGCTGACAAGTCAGCACGATGAACACACACCGGGCTCTCCGCCACGTTCGTACTAAGTATGGTAGAGTGCATTAGCACACGTTCATTCCGGTTAACCATCCCCTTACCTCGAGATTCATGTCCAGGTGCGTGAAGGATCAGTCTTCCTGGCGCTGCTGCCGGCCTCAAGAAGTTCAAAGGCGATGCAAGAAGTCCCTCATTGTCCTGCCGGACGGCGTTCTCACCATCTCACGAAAAAACAACAGTGACCGCAGAACTGGATTTGTGAACCAAAGATACGGGTACATTAGACGCACATTTCGAGTCGACATCACATAGTAAAATCTGTCAGGGAAGAACGACCCCAGCATCTTTCATCAAATCTGCCACTTCGATATCTAGAAGAACAAGAGGAGTTTCGGACAGTCAGCAGGGAAGAAGACGATGGAAGGAGAAGGAGAGGACGTACGGTCTTCGGTGTGTTTCATGCGAGACGCGAAGGAACACGTATTTCCTGTTCACATACGAGCAAGTGAGTCGCGCGAGAGGGTATAAATGAAGATCCACCAGGCCCAAAGACGAACTAGCCACCCAACTGCGAGATATTTCCCTGCTTGCCAACGAGCGTCGGTTTCTTCAGCCCCCGCTGTCAAAACGCACATTAGCACTCCCAACACTCGTAGAAACGAAGAGGAATATACAACACGCACCCACATCAACCGTAACACCACGCCTACAAAGCTCACTCTGCGCAGGTATCCCGGGCGCTCTTCCCCGCCGGCGTGCGCTGGAGGTTCTTGATCGTCATTCCCAGCGCGTGGCACAGCTTTCGCGAGGGGTCGGCATAGATCGATCCTGTAAAATTTGTTGTTTCTAGTCCAGAGATGGTCAGATGAACGACAAGGATGTGGTTAAGACGTGGTGGGAGGGGTGCACGGACCAGCGTAGTGGGGTATAGCGGTCGCCTCGCTGCACCCTACGACGACGACCTTCGTGCTGGCTTGGGTATGGGAGTCTTGTGAGATAGATATTAGCTGCTAGACGTATAGCTGTGAAAACAAAAGTGCGAGTGGGATGACAAGGTGTGGGGAGGACGGACGGCGCACCTGGCAGGCTTGGTCGATGAGAGATAGGTAGGAGGGAAGGTATCAGTGCGCGGTTTAACTCCAGGAGAGCGATCATACACCACAGAAGAAGTGCCCTACGCATCTACATCAATAAATTCGAAGACGAGATAGAGTGAAAGTAGCTCACGGATGAACACAACAACAGTCTTCTGCCCCTCGATGATCGACCCGAACTTCACCTTCTCGCCCTTCGCATCTAACGCCTCCAGAGCCGCAGCTCTCGCGATAGGTTCTTCGCCCGGGAGCGCCTTGAGGTCCGTCATAGTTCACATGAGACGAGGTGGTGGTTGGGAACAAGGAGTGGGCCGTGGAAAACAAACGAGACCGGACCGCTCATGCCGGAATCAGGATTCCTTCTAAGCTGGCGCCTCTACCCCTGCAATCCCCGCCCTCAATTTGCCTGTCCTATGCATTGTTGGAGAGGGTTGAACTTGCTGCATTGGATCTGACCAGTACCATTCTGCCCTCAGCCATGGATTCCGTCGGCATACTAGAGGACTATGCTTCTGTCTCGGCGATCTTGAGCAGTCTCGTCAGGCTGCCTTCCCCCTTCTCTCTCAGTTGTTCTCTATATTTTAGTTTCAGATGGACCCTCCGCTTCAACGTTTCGTGCTGTATGCTGTGCCTCGTGTACCGTGAAACTCTCGCTCGTTCCATGGCTTGTAACTTATGTTTAGAGCCATCTCGTCACCTTTGTTTAACTTTTCCCCTTGATCTCAGGATTATTCTTTCCCTAACCTGTTCTCCGATGTCTACTTCCTGTACGAGAAGCGTATAATCTGAAACCTCCAAACTGCATCGTTCCCTATTGAATATAACAAACCGCTTAATTCTTTCGCCATTTACTCGGGAGTTCATGACGACAGCGGTATCGATACTCCTGTCTCTGTCCAATTATTTCGTCAGGCTACGACTCCAACTCTAGGCCATCTTCCCCGATTGACAGCTTCACGGGATCTCTGTACACTCCCTCGCGGAATCTATTGTGTCTGGATGCTGATGGAGAATGGAAGCTCGAGTCTTGAACAATACAATCCCACCCTCAGCCTTGAGAATTTTGATCCTAGTGAAGGCGGGCTTGACGAAGTCGTAATGGATGTTTAGACGAATGTGAGGTTAGTTGTTGGTTCGGTCTTGGTGACCGCGTTTTATCTGATTAACGCTCGAACCCAGTCTCTCAGTCGCTGTCGATCAAAATGAACACTTCACGACGTGTGTCGATCCTTGTCAAGACACCAAGCGTCCCAAGGCGAAATGCATTCGAAATCTACCGGACCTCCACATACGAAGATGGACACGCAGTCAGACCAGGCGCGAGGAGGTCAGTTGCGTTAGTTCTAGGGCTACCTGAGACGCATAATGTGGCGTCCTATCAAAATGATTTAAAATTTGAGGTGCATAGGCATTGCAATCTATGTCGAAAAATCACTGGAATCCCAACATCGATGAGCCGCCCAAAGCTCCTCCAAGTCTCTATCATCCATTATTATTCGTAAGAAAGCGTATATAAGGCATCCCCAGCGCTGAATCCCCTAAGATCCCAACACCTATCCTACTACCAACTTTTCACTAACTACCAATGCGATCCACTGCCCTCCTCACCTTTCTCACCTGCCCTACTCTTATCCTCCTCGTCCGAGTCCAAGGCGCCATAAATGGCCGTTGCACGAAAGACACCGGCGTCTGCGTCACCACCTCCTCATGTACCTTCGCCGGGGGCGTATACCTCCCGGGATATTGCCCGAACGACCCTGCCGACGTCAGATGCTGCACCAAGTCGCCGTGCTACCAGGGCAGAGGGAGTTGCAGGTTCACAGCGGATTGTCCCTTGCCTGCGAATTTTCTTGTTGCGGGTACGTTTTGAGTAGTTTGAGCATTATTTTGGAGGAGAATGCTTAAGGGAACGGGATACGTACGTAGGTCTTTGTCCGGGAGGCTCGAACTTCTTGTGCTGCGTCCCAGCTTGATGTGTCGTGTCATGTAAGACCGCAGAGGAGAAGGGGGACTTGCTGCTGAATAACGTGCCGTCGTCTTCTATTAATGTTCAGACTCTGATTCATCTCCCCAGATTACAGCTACAGATCGAGACGCGATAATACTTCTTGCGTAGAAATTCTTCAGTGGGCCTTGGGACGAATCCAAGGTTCACCGGATGGAGAATTGTAACGCTTGAAACGACACTTGCTATTTCACACAGTCTCTTTGTGTACCCTGTTTGATGATTTGAATCCCAATCAAAGTCGCTTCTCCTCCTCGGCGTTTCAGCTGTTCCGAACCTGGAGAAACCGAATTCCAAGGCAAATGGCAGAGGCGGCACGAAGAGATGGAAGCATGACTGGCTAATTTCCGGTCCGCTTGTCAAATGGAATGACGGTGGATTCAAAGGCACGAGGAGTAACTCGAGTTGTTGGGCCGCTCCAACGAATCGCTCGCGTTATGTCACCAATGGCGTGAATGTAAAAAAAAAAAAAGAAAGA